GTGGTAACAGCTATTACAGTGATAACATCCGGTGACTGCAATATTCTATCGCGTACAGTATTGATATCCGATGGAATCAAGAGACGGTGAAGATCTGAGGAAGTGAGATGGCGAAGGACAAATCAACCAGAAAGACCCACTCGCGAACTAAAAGACCCATTCTCGAGTCAGTCCGAAGAGCGCGACTATAAGCGGGGGTGGACAAGGGAACGCGGTGACTGCGGGAGCAGACGGTGGGACGTAGGGAGGCCCCGGGAACAATGGGTCCGGTGTGCAGTCCGCGTCTCGGTTACCATTCGGCCGTACCGCTTAGCACGTAACACGACACCCGAGGAGGCGCACGAGCGTACATACACACATCCTCGTACCACAAAACGCACACACAGACAAGGTGTACATGTACACACACGCATATATATACACTCAAGCGATGATACGTGGATGCATGAGAGTAAGCTTCGAGCGGGAAAGAGGAAGAGGCTGCGTGCAAGAGGAAGGAGTCTGGCCCTGGAGGGTGAAACCAGCGACGGGGGAGTGAGAGAGGGATTAGGAGGCCTGGGGCTAATCGCCGTCCACTCGGACGTGCCGGACCACACACCGGCGCGTCCGTCCGCGGCCATTCCTCTTCTCGTTCTCGTGAAATATCGCTGTCAAGGGCCCGAACTCTATTAGTCGAGTTCCGCGAGTATACTTGCCCGAGTACTTGCAGTGTATCGATTCGCCTGGATCGATCGTGATCCGAGATCCCGCGGATAGCAGGATCCCGTAGAGGAGGGTAGGGCGGAGCCAGTGATTTAGGCGGATCCCGAACGTGGATCTCGATCGCGATTACGCGAGTGCAGCTTGGAAATCTTAAATGTACGAAAGTGTCAAGACTCCGCGTGCCAGTCTACGGTCTCGCGTAATTTAAATGTAATTGTGTGTATTAACCTTTATTGTTAATACACACAATTAGATCATTTGTATCTTGCATTTCTTTGAAATACTAAGAGCCCAAGTTATATATCATTTTTAAAAATATAATTTATATGAACAGAACAATTTTACTGAACGATCTAAAATTTTGCTGGATACAGACCTGAAAAATAATTTTATTGAAAACTCAAACTGATATTGCTTATAGAATATCAAAATTTTTTTGCAGCATTACTTATCATTTTTTAGTTTCCAGCATAATTATTTTGATAGTCGAACAAAATTATTTTCAGATCTGTAAGTTATCCAATCCAGCAAAATTTTAGATCTTTTAGCAAAATCATTCTTTTTCTACAAATACTTTCTAAAATATATATAAAAATTATTTAATAATTTTGGTACAGACTTTGTAAAATTGATGAAAATTAACTTGGAACTCAAACGATTCATTGTATAGTAAATAGTGAATAATATATATTCAGCGTATAGTAAAGGATCGGAAAATTATATCATGTGTACTGAAGTGTTAAAAAATTACGTGTAATGTACAGATATACGTATTATAATACCACACACACAGTTTACTTGAAAGTTATGCTCTGTACATAGATGCACGAATACAAATAATATTCTCCGATAGTTATATAATTGTAACGAGGAACTAATTATGCGCTCATTTCAGAATAGTAAAGTTAAAATTTCGAAGGTGTCAGACAAGCGAAGGGTAAAGGATGTAAATCCAAGGCGCGGAAGATGTTACGTGCTACCACCATTTGCCTTCGGCGCGCTATCTCTCTTAGTTTCGAAAATAGCTTAATCACACGGGGCTTGTAGAAAAATCCAGAAATCAAATTACACTGTTCGTACACGGAGAGGAACAGGTAGGCAATCTCCATCGCACACAAGAGGGCTCACGCGCGTCGCGTGTTCATGTGTGTGTGCTGTGTGTATGCGTACGCAAAACGGAAATGACGCAGCGCGCCAGCAACGCGGTCTCCTGTGCATTAAGGCCCAGGCTGCAATTCACGGCGGAGTGTGCTAGCGCTGCGCCTCTTCCCGGCCTTGAATTATATCCTTAATGTTTTCATAAAGCTTCCTTATGTACAGACAATAAAAGCCCTAATTACAGTCGTTCGCCGGGCGAGAGAGCGGCCTCCGGGGCCGGCCGCCTATTACTATTCGCGCTATGCCGGGGCTCCCGTAATTGTTACACCGCGATAAATATTCCTCATCGATCTGACGAGTCTGCGTTTTCCCCCGTAATGGCGCGGTTACGGTCGAAACGTTCTAATTAGAGGCCACCGCCGTTACCCATTAAAATGTCCATGACGTTCTCGCGGCTACACCCCTCGAGTACCGCCGTTCAGGAGAGAAAGAGAGAAAAAGAGAGAGAAGAGGGGAGGAGGGAGGAGGGAGGGAGAGAGAGAGAAAAAATATTACGTGAAAAAAATAGCAAATAATCAATTTTATCAAAAAAATCCCAAAAACCCCCCCAAAAAACCCAATAAAACCCCTATTATAAAACCCCATAAAATGTGGGTTAAGCTTTTTTAAAAAAGCCCGGATTTTTTTCAACTCTCTTCAGCGAGTAATCAAAATCTGTCCAATCTGTCCAATCTGTCATGCCAAAAGCTAAAATCACCAGCATGACAAATCTGAAATTATTCGAAAAATAGGTTTATATACTTTGTTTAGCGAAAAATATAAAATTTATATTTCTCATCTCTCGACAATTGAATTTTACGACGACTATCCTTATCTTAATTATCAAATATAAATTTCTTGTCATTTATTGAAAATTATTGTTAAAAAGATTTATTAAGTGAAAATGGACTGAGAAATATGTTTAACATAAATGAGTTAAGAAGGCCATATTCGGTCAAGGCGAATTTTGGTGTTCAATAATATCTTTGAATCGGTCCATTTTCGTTTAATATTTATTTACATCACCTGAAGAAGATATGCGTTCTTCCTACATATATTAATTAGTGCAATTAAAAATCTAGATTATAAATATTTTTTCATTAATCATCACATAGACATCCCACGCGTAATTCGAGAGATTCAAAAATTTATGGCTAAGATGATTTTCGCAATAAATTATTTAGTGATTTAAAGACGCTTATGAGAGCATCAGTTAAATTGCATGTCAATTTAGTTTGTGATATTACATGCTCCAGCTTCAGTCTAAAGTTGTGTTTCAAGATCGATGAATAATCGGCATGTAGTTCGTTTGAACTACAAATTATAAAAAATTCACATAAAAAGATATTATTATTAGGCATCAAAACCCATCTCAAATATAGCCCTCTTCACTCATTTATGTAAAAAGATTTAGTTAGATGGAACTGGACAATCAACATTTTTATTCAATGAAGAATTCCTTCGAAAATATAGATTTTGAATTATGCATCTATTATATAAATTATTACTGTACTCGATGGATTCCTCTTATCTTTAATTGACGTAGAATCACACTAGTGTTAGAATTGGATAAGCTAGCCGACAGCTATAATTGAGAAAAAAACATTTCCTGGGCGTAATAAGCAATAAGACGCTTTTTATGCGTAATCGCATGTGCGTTGCGTCCGCTTCTCCGATCGAGAAGAGAAAGAAATAGAAATTGATCCGTGGAGAGTTAATTGGAGCAAAACTGACGGCGTCGTGACGGCTTTTAGCGGTTAATGGCCGCATCCGTAATTTTCGAACGTATCTGTTTCTTGTTCCCCGAAGCCGCTTTGACAAGGAAATATGGTATATTCTCGCATGCCTTAATGTCCCGTAATTTCTCTTGGAGCCCTTTTCTTGGCAACGTCGTCTGAGGGCCCGCGGTGCCAGTCAGGTGCTACGTGGGCACCGCGAAAGGGGCCCTTTTCGGGAAACGAAATCAGCCGTTCTTTCTCACGCGAACCTCCTTAAGTCCTCGATCATCGCGTATACAACAATAGCGTCTAGCAGAGTCTAACACTCTCAAAGAAGCCGTCCTTGCTGCTCGCCTTTTGCGTTGCTCTATCGCGTGAGCCTCAGCATAATTTAATTAGCGATCCAATTACACACGAGCCGCGCCCTATTCGCCTCGTCTCACGGCCGTGAGTTTACGCGTTTACGCTAATAATTCGCACATAATATTTGCACGCCGGTAGACTCCATAAGCGCGTAAATAATAAAATTACAGCCGGCCGTGGCATAAGAATGCAATCACTTATACGCGCCGATGATCGCCGTCGAGCCGATGTTAATTGCCAAGAATCGCTACCGGTGATTATATCGCGCACAAAGATTATCCTCGGTTAGTTACTTCGAATTAAACCCTGGTCCCGATTTTCAACGAACACTCGAATGCGCGCAATAAAATTTAATTTTCTTAATTTAGCGTTGATTATACAACATGATGCAAACACTTAAATATCTCTTCAAATTTTTGCCTTAAAATTCAGCATGATGTTGCGAGGAACATATATAATTGAAGTATTAAAGTGAAGAATAGGTACAAAACGCGTAATTATTATCTGATCTCAATTTAATGATAAAGTTAATTTACACGGTACTTCGTGCTCGACGATACTTTACGGCTTCCCTTAATTGATCATCTTTTTGACACCTAGTCGATAAATTCCCCAAAATCGCGCGCGGCGCGCTCAAGCAACGTGAAATGGCTCGCGATATTAAAGCGCAGGGAATTCCGTCGACCGAAGAGAGCCTGTTATTCTCCGTCTACCCCGGGGCTGACATAGGGCATTAGGTAAGTGGTAGATAATAATAGGTTACACCCCACTGATGGCCGAAGGTAGTTCATCGAATGCTGCGGTTTGGCTCATCTCGGTTCCTCTCGCACGCATCCCACGGGGACTATCAAGCTCCCTCGTGGAATGCTTTACCATTCTGGTGATATTACATGATTCGCAAAACGGGAATTAGCTTAGGACGAATGGAAGACAATGTTGCGAGTATAATCGAATGGATAATTCATTTTAATCTAAAACTAAAAGTTATAATAGTACTTTAACACACTTACAAAAACAGCTGCTTTTTGTAAGTTTTTTTTTTCAATCATAAGACTGTCGGTAGGGATTTTAAATCCATATATCTCTTTAAAGGTTAAAAAAGATTAATCTAAATTCCCATTTCCTCGACCATAAAATTAACTTTTTATAAGCGATTTTTTTAAAGCAAGGAAATATCAATTAGTAGGCTAAAGTCTATAATGTCTAAAAGAATTTCCTAACACTGTTTCCTAATAACATGTCTGAAGGTCGTTTGAGCTCACGGGACGATGTCTATGAAAAGGAGGTCGATTAAATTCGAAGAAAAAAAAAAGAGTAGAAATGAGGAAGCTACATTGGAATTATTGAGAGATTTATGACTAACAACTCCGCTCACAGTACCAACAGTGAGCGAGCTGTCGTCGCTCAGGATGAGACTTCGTGATGGCGGAACACGAAGAGAGGTGAAAAGCAAAACGCATGAAAAAGAAGGAAGCTGGTTCACGGGCCGCGTTGAATGTCTCTTCGAGCGACGTATCGCGTGAAGACTTCGACAAAGGAAGAAACCGACGATGGGGAGAAAGAAGAGGTGTGAGGTTGAAGAAGTTCCGCGGATTCTTCCTTCGACATGGAATGCTGTTAAGGGAGAATATTAGAAGGTAGATGAAAAAGAGGGGAAGAAAAGTGCAAAGAAAGGCAGAAGCCGCAGAAAGAGATACTAAAGAGAGGAGGAGGAGGAGGCAAAAGAGGAAGGGTATAACGCGAATTGGGGAGAGGCAAAGAAAAGAATTACAGAAAAGGAGAATGAGGCGGGAGAGAGTCGAAGATAAAAAAGAGAGGGGAAATAGAGAAGACGATGGTAGAGAGCGAGGTGAAGCGAAGTGCGGCGAAGGGGGGGCAAACGGGTAGAGAGCGAGTGTAACAGCGAAGAAATTAATAGCCATAAAATATGAATAGAAATTAGCAGGTTCGGGGTGGCGTGACGCGTTTGCTCGCTCATTTCCTTTCGGCGCGTTGAAAAACAACAAGACAACACAAAATACGGTCGAGCCTGTAATTTACCCGGCTGCCGCCGAGCGGGCCGACGCGCGATCGCCGCCGCGTCGAACGAGCGAGTGTGCGAGTGCGCGCGAGTACGCGCACATACGCACACACGAGCGAACCCGCGCACAGAAAGGTACGCACGAGAACGTTAACGCCCGAGAAGTCAGAGCTCTAGATGCGAGTAGGAACGCTCGTGCATGTGTATATAGGGATGTGGGTACATGTGTATATGTGTGTGTACGAGGGATGGGAGTCTGTCGGTGGTGCTCGCAAGCTCGGGCCATCATCGTCGTCGCACAGTAGGTATGGTAGGTAATGATCCGGTAATGACCCTGACGCCTCGGATAGCCAGCCAGTCGATATATGGTGGAGTGTGCGTATGCGTGTGTATGTGCGAGTGTGTGCGAGTTGGAGCCTTCTCTCCCTGCTCCGCCTCCTCCCTCCGTCCCTCTTGCTGTTTCTTCTTCCCGCGGGTACCCCTGACCGGGCCTAAAGCCCCGATGATGCACGGCGAGACCTTTGTTTTTGCGTTTTAAACGGCGGTTATTAGCTTCGTAGCAGCCACGGCCACTGATGCTGCCTCTCCACCTCCCGTGTCTTCTCTCGCCCTCTCCAGCTCCTTCCTCTTCTTCTTCTACTTCGTCTTCTGCGGAGTCTTTTTCATCTTTCTCCATCGCCGTGCCCCGCGACTCGCTCTGTCCGTCTCCCTCTGGCACTTTGATAATGCGGCCCGCTAATGGGCCGGCAAGGAGACTGGCGGTATCGGTTGGAGGTGTCTGCGTTGTCGGGGTTGATGCTGGTAGTTGTGTCGAGGAGGTGGATGAGAGAGGGAGAAAGACGGAGGGAAGGTGCGAGCTGTGAAGAAGAGGTAGGCCGAGCGAGACGAAAAAGATAGAGAGACTTTGCGAGGAGAGGAGAGGTAGAGGAGGAAGAAGAGAGCCAGAGCGGCAGCGGTAATGACAGGCCGTCCGCTCTCGAAGCTAATATAGATGAATGCCCTGCCCTCCTCTTGCCCTCCGGAACCGGGAGAACTTGGAATCGCTCTCTTTCTCCTATGTTACCACCCGTTTCTTTCTTCGGGGCGCTTCCACGGCGAGCCGCGAGCCCAAACGACCGGACCGAGATGCGACTGGCACGGAACTGTGCGCGAGTAGCGACCGAAATATACGAGATACTCTGGCGAATGTGTATCTCTTAGATGCAACCATTAAAACGTAACACATGGTTGAACGTTGAAAATATAGATTGATCACATTCATGTTCGAAGCTGTTTTCCCAGAGTTTGGTCCCAAAGATTCTACAAGGTTTAGCAAATTTTAATACAAAGTTTTCTATTTCAATATAATGCTAAATGATGTTTTCTATAATAATTCTGACAAGTTCAGGAAGTACAAAAAGAAGGAAAGAAGTGAACGTCAACATATAGTTTATCTGCTATTTGTAAATAGTTACATGGATAATTAAATCATCCCTGCACTCATATAAATATTGAAAATGTGTTATATTTTCAATCAATATTCAGAAATGTTTCCTATTTTGAATCTGATCACCAGTTTTCAATGTTAGACTCAGCAAAAATTGCAACGTTTAGGCAAACTATATAGGATAATACACTTTACAACAAGTTCAAATATCATCGTTTCAAACAACACTGAATAACTACGTACAACTTCAGTGCCTACTTTCCCCCATAGACCTTAACGACTTTGCCTAGTCCTGAACCATCAATCTGTACCGTAAAACGGCGCCTCTCAGCCGCCATCGCGCTTTCGCAAAGGCAGCCGCGATTCCGCGATCCTCGGCTGTCCGTGCTGATGTTTTCACGACGTTGACGGCAGTGCCGTGCGCGCCGCGAACACGTACGCGAGGAGGAGACCGAACACACGTACGCGAGAAGGGAAGGCAGAGAAAAGGGAAAGAGGGAGTGAAAGAAAGAGGGCCGGAGGGGCATCTATCTATCAGCGCCGGCGTGAAGTGGGCGGGTGCATGCGCCGTATTGCTCCGTACGGCCGCTCTCTCATTAACTCCGGACGCCGCCGGAGCGGCGCATCCGTGTACGGCTAACGTGGAGGCGACTGCCGGCGTTCCTCATCGGGACGGAGGGATCCGACCGTTCGCGCTGGACCCTCTCGATCTTCGCGGCCGTACGTGCTTATCTGGAGCGAGTACGGCAATGACCGGTGTCATCGGCTGATGGAGAACGCGAAGACGCGCGCAAGTTCTTTCAATGTCAGTAACTTCCGCCCAGAACGCTCGCTCTCGTAATCTCTCTTCTCCGACATTCCAAACGCGCCCTTTCAAAATTACATTACTACTCAAAAGTATTTGTTTATTCCGATTTTTGTACGCCTGAATTTCATTTTTCTATACTCAAAGAAAAAGTCGTAATATAATGGCAACTATGTGAATGATACTATACAAGTTTCATATTAATGTACATAGTTGAATGAACTATTTTATAGTTGCAACTGTAAAATAGTTTATTCAACTACACACACATATATAATATATATAAAACCTGCATAGTTGTTACTCTCTATAGGAGACCCTCAGTAGGAGTCTGGTCACTCAAGACAAATATAGCGGCAATATTTGACTATATTGTAGAATATATACATAGACTTCTGTAAACTTTATGTGACTCATTCTATATCCTTTACAATACAGAGTTATATTTGCCTCAGATGTGAACAGATGGTGAGCAATAGGTTATTGAATACGTCCAGACTCTTACTTAAGGGTCCCTAGTTGTCACTTACGTGACACCACTTGTCTTTGCTGAGTGTAATTCTACTATTCTCTTTGCATAAGTAAATTGCTATTTTAAACCTTATTTATTATTAAACCTAACATCTAGAAGATTAAGATAGATTGAAAATCACTCTTCTTTATTTAATTAAAGAAGACAGGATGGGTAATACTTTCGAGTGGTAGCGTTATGTTTGCACAACATCGTCATCTCCAGGTTTGTAGATTGCTCACATTTCTAACGCAGCATTATCTGGAGTGAGTTAACATATGGCGCATTGCAATTTCAATAGCCAGAAAATATCGATCAACCCATGAATTTTTACAACCATCGAACGCGCAGCTTCGAAAACGTAAATCACCTTGATTCATAGATTGCTAAATGTTCCTAATATTCGTATACTTTTAGATGTACATAATTCCGGCACGTATCTATAGATTACTAGACGACGTATTCACAGAAGGTGTTTAACTGCTCAAGGGTATAAATTTATACACTTACAAATTACCGTGTCTATAATGTTGTAGTGATGCGTATATAAATCTTTCCCTTTATTTTTTTGAATATATGTATACACTGAGAAAAAAATGCTGTTGATTCAATTAAAGTCTATATTACGAGCTGTCACTAACATAAGTGATTAATTCATGTATATTTTTATTGACACAAAGGCATAAATTATTATTTCAATAATCAAATCTTTATATCAGTAAAATATATGCATGAATTAATCACTTATGTTAGTGACAGCCCGTAATATAGACTTTAATTGAATTAACAGCATTTTCTTTTCAGTGTATTACTGTAAACAGAACAACATAATTAACTTGAAATTTCTAAATTTTCGCGTCTTTGCATGAATGAATATTTATCAACAAGCATTGCTAACTTGAATGGTGAGATGGGGAACTGATAAAGAACCCGCATCGAATCACCGGATCCCAAATTAGTTCCGCGATAACGCGACCACCCGGAATGATTTTCGTCTATCGATAATTTCTGATCAGTTATGCGTATGCTAGCACTAGCTACGAAGCGTTACTTCAACTAACAAAGTTGGGATCCCAATTGGGCACACCTAGTGCCAGGAGCGACAGTGTTATCGGAGTATTGGTGATCCTAAGAGATTTTATCGACGACAGTCCCACGGTAGTCTATCTCGAGGGAGTTTTACGGGGACGTTTCCACGTGTAGTAATTTCGAAAAATGAGGGGGGGAGGGTAGCAGGAGACGTATAATTCTCGATAGGTCGGAACTCAACGACTTCGATGGCGGTGTTCTCTTCAACGGAATGCAAAGTGGCGAACCGATCGACTTTTCGAGAGCTCGAGATAACGGACGAGTCTTAGAATGACGATGCAGGATTTAGGCGGCCGCCTGTTAGGCAGGTGCTGATTTGGGGAGGATCGTGGTGTGGCAGTGATTCCGGGACGAGATCATGCCCGTTCAACCAAGATGCGGAGTCATTAAAATGCACACGTAGCTCGTTATTCGATTCGCCGTGAAATCGTCCCAATGGAACGAAAATAGGTACGTGTGCGTAAACAAACCGATTGTAAAGGCTATATAATGGCACACAAAAAATTTAAGCGATAAACAAAGTAACATTTTGGACATTCTTACGTTCTTTACTGATTGGTCGACTTGCTTACTACCTACCATCTTACTGTCTTACATTTTTCTGTAGGTATGCTATGGGCTTAGGGCTGTCACACACATTTTCTGTAACAGTAATCGTAAGACATCCTATAAGACTTAGCCAAATAGAATTGAAAATTTTTTAGAATTCTTGACTGTGATTGGCTAGTTTTTACGGTACATCTAACGGTTACTGTTACGGAAAGAGTGTGTGCGGCAGTCGTAAATAGTTCTCACGGTTATCCATTGTCAGATGGAAAAATAGCTTTGTTTCCATTGTCGTATGAAAATTAGCTTTGTTTTCATTGCCAGATGGAAAATTAAAACTGTGTTTCAAGACTAATAAATAGTTGGCGTGCAGTTTATTTGCATTGAAAATTGTATGGTTCACACAAAAATTTTATTAGGCACCCGTTTTACCGAAAATATAATCTTTTTCATTTATTTATATCGAAAATTAATTTGTTATGCAATGTATTCGTGAACTGCAGGTAGTACAATCAAGAAAGGAGTGATTCTACATGAAAAGATAAAAAGAAAACGACTAAAATTTTTCAATTAAATTTTCCAAGAAAGTCGACTTTAAATATTCGCCGAGTAAGGATTTAATTGATGAATTAGAACAGTAGAACTAATAAAAATATATCATTATTACTACTTTTTAATTATCAATTTTATTATATAAAATTAGGAAATTATTTACTAGAAATTTTTTAAAATTCGGGAATATCTATATATATATAAGTATTCAAAGATATATATATCACAATTCCATTGCTTACGAGTCCGAGGATACGGCGAAGAAAAAGCAATAAGATCCTTTATGTTTGCAAAGTTCAGGAGCACGAGTCCCCTAAAATCTGAAAATAATTGGTAGAAAAATAACGATCCCTAACTCGTGCTCCAGAGGTCTTAGGGACAGACCAAGGATTTTAGCATTCACGGAGCCCGGGGACCATTACCATAAATTTATCGCGACCTTCGGTGTTTGCATCCTGCGATCCTTGGACCTGCGTTTTCCGCCGACCTCCCACGCACGCCTCCTTTTAATAGAGAAACGGCATAAATTCGCTTTGATATACGTCCAGGTCGGTAGCACTCGTATACATACATGAAAATATCGCGCGTACGGTCCGATCCATCACGGAACTTCTTTCTGCCGCGCCACGCGCAGATCGTTCGAGCGGCGAGCATACAGCTCGCGAGTGGGAAGATCGCGCGCTTCGGCTATTAATAATCGTAAACGAGAAGTTCGCGTGTTTTTGCCGGACGCGCTACGCGCAACTTAATTTTTTAACGATCAGCCCGGCGATGGGGCGCGACGGAGAAGTGCGCGGGGCACGGAGAATCGCCGGGGAGAATTGAAAAAAAAAAAGATACACGAGACGATAATCCGATGTGCATACTTGACAATAAACGCAGCACCCGGGAGAAACGCATGGTGCTGTAATAATATTCGCTCCAAGAGCGCGCAGTGAGACGACGGTGCTGAAATCGGTCCGTAATTAAAAGCCACGTTACTTTTATCGTTGTCCCCCCTTCAGTGCCACCCCAACTGGACCTCTTTCCGTCGCCGCTGGCTGGCTCGTAGATTTTTCTCGGTCGATTGCCTCTTCGCACCATGGACTGACTTCTTCTCGCGGCGAGGCGGTTATCGGGCCGTTCGGCCTCATTTAATAAGTAAGAACGACACGCCGGTAGCCGAGCGAGCATCGACGCGAGCAACGCCCACTAAATTGTTAACGGCGTCGACTTGCGGCGATCTCTCGGGGATCGCGATGCAGGGTTTTTATGCAAATCGACTCGTATATGTATACGGTGTGTCCGCGAATCGATAACGGACACCCAATAAAGTCGTCTCTTCCCTCCCTAATGCGAGCTTCTCGTTCTTCGCTCCGTGTTTCAGGATCGTTCTCCGTTACTTCGTTCTTGTACCCCTGCTATTTAATCTTGAATAAACGTTGTGTAATTCTTATGTACGTTTCTACCAATGTAGATTAACTTCAATCTCGCGGTTTAACTTGCTTTCTTTATATCTTTATATATTCTTATCTCGCGAGTTCTAAGAATTAGAAAAAGATAAAGAGTAAATTAAATCGAGATTTTAGTTTACATTGATAGAAAGGATATTAGAGAGATTTTCTGTGTTAGGCTAATGTTCGCTTTATGTCGCGTCTATTTGATTATGCATTTGTGACGGAAGTACGTTGTTTGCGACAAGGTAAGAATTAAGAGATAGACTTTAACTCAGACTTTTCAAAGTCTACAATCTGAAGTCTTGACTGAAAATCGCAAGAATTTAGGTGCCATTTTATGTTTGGAATACATAATTTTGAATTAAGCTGTCAATATTTAATAAACAAGTCTTAAAATTAATATATGCGGAAGAGAATTAATAACTGAAACTAAAGATGGTAATACTTGATCCTGGACGTCCAATATTATTACAATATTAATCATCCGAATGATATATTGAGCTTCCTAACTACATATTTGCTTTGAATTGCCTAAAGAAGGCATCAGTAATGTTGTACAAAATAATAGCATAACAATATTAACCCTTACCATACCATCTACAATTTGGTGCCTCATCCATACCATCAAGGGTCACTTCAAATCTTTTCGTTTTTTCACCTTTTCAAAATAATAAAAAAAGTCTCTAAAAATTCATCAACATACTTTTAACTTTCTAGAATAAATATTGACTCTTTATTTTGGAAAATAATAAAATGTAGTATAATTTATAATTACCGAAAGACTCAAAGAAACTTGCACGAACAGGAATCGCTCGGTCACTAGTTACCCATATTAGTACGGTAAGGGTTATAAACTTAATTCAGAATTATTTATTCCAAACGAAAGACGGGAATCCGTTGATTATTGTTAGTTAAGCATCTGGGAATTGCTTAGGGTTTGTACAACCAAATTTTGGTTCGAAATTCTATATGTATTTAAGTTATACTTGTGTTATATCCAAGGTATCATGCACGTTCTCCTGAAATAAGTTGTGGTCTTAGAGTATTACTATAAACTGCATCTCTTTTTTTTTCTGCTTTTTCTCTCTTTCTCGAACGCTCTCATTTCTTATTTGTTCTTCTCATCGCTTTAACGATCGCGAAACCGTTCGCGTACCTGTCGTGAAACACCTGTCTCGCGAGAAGCGAAACGCAATTAAATTGTTTATCCGATCGTAATGAGGCGGTAATCGCGACACTTAAATACCGTTAGGGTTTTCGGTGCCAATCGAGAGGGTCATTAACGATACGACAGAACGGTGGTGTTCAGCTAAGTTTCGCGGATTTTTCAGAAGCCGGCCGAAAAACACGGTCGCATTAATTGCGCGAGTTACGAATGGCGGTGTTCTGAATTATGATCTTAATTAATCGCAAAACGATCTTGCACGGGAGATAGGTGCCATGCCCAAACCGGGAGTTTTCGTGAAAGTGGCATCCAGCGGCCCAGCTGCGATCACGTGCAAATTGGAAGAGGCGTGACGAGAGTCCTGCCTCACTTAACGCGCGCCGCGTTCCTTAATATATTTCTGAGGATCGGTGGGCGGTGCGAGAGCACCAGACGGTTTTTCGTAAAATATGGTACCGAATCCGAGACCCCGCGACCGAAGCCCCTGCCTTCTCTCAGGGCGGGCTAATCAATTTTTAAACGCAAGGCTGTAGCAAGAAGCCGGGAAATCGAACATAAAATTCTCAATCTTGATACGGTGGCTTATAATTTACAACAATACGAGAAGAGATGCGTCCGTCTTACGCTAGTTTCGAATTATGTTAATTTTATATTAATATACATATTACAATCAAAATTAAATTGAAATTAAAATAAATCGATTATCCATATTAATTTGTTTTAATGCTCTATCTCTCTTATTATATAATTATATTTTATATTTATTACATGTCTGTTTTTCTCAATTATCTCTTTATATGTTATGTTTACATTTTGAAATTACTTTTAAAGATTTTAGAATCCTCTAGAATCATATAGAAAAGATTTTGCAATCTGAATTCTCTGAAGATCAATCAATCTTGAGGATCCAAATTGATTCTTTCTGTAAATAAGTGATTTCTTATGTTTGTTTGAATCCTAAGATTTAATGGTGAATATTTTGCTGAAATAGTGATGAATTGCATCAAGCAAAAAAATAAAATAAACGATTGAAATGCCATTTTATATACAGGCACAATGAATAACATTGATAATCGATTAATCGTACAATCATCTGTTAAGAGGATCCTAAAGCGAAGCTCGAACTCCGACGATGTCACCAGAGGTCGCTGTTTTTCAAGCGTATCGACATGTCTTTATATACTACCACACCGATATCTCACGCAACCTACGATACACGCAGTTGTACGTTCGTGTCAATTTTCGTATAACAAATTCGTTGCGATAAAGCGCCTAAGTCTAATTCTAAGAATTCGACGTTATTTGTTCATGCAAACTATGTGTTTGTGGATTACTATTTCGTAAGTATAGGTTACAAAACTTTCGTATCAAGCAAATGTTGTCACAATTTGATAGTTTGAGACGCCATGTTACAAGAAATGGTAAAAAATATATCAATTTTGAAATTTTTGGTCGTTCTCGGCATAAACTCCACTTCACAAACACGTATTAACGCATATACTTTAATCCTGGAAAACGATTTTCGAATCTGTGAAAGAGAAAAAAAAGTATTTGTTTTTTATACAAAAATTATGTAATTTAGTCGGTAATACAGACAACTTTAGGATCCCCTTAACAACGGAACGTCGGCATCAAAGATGATCTTGCAATGACGGCGGCACTGAACAAAAAGAGTATGCATTCGCATATACATAAATATATATATTTTTCCGTCACGCGTGTATCCGTCTCGTAGCCGTAAACGCGGAAAGGAGAGAGAAAGAGAGAAGAAATGCAGGTTTGAGCAGGTGTGTCGTCATTCGTGCAGATAAGATGATCATGGATAATTCGGAATCGGCCGCGTGCGCGCGCTCATTTCGGTGCCGATCTCACTTGCTTCGACGTTTAACGTTGTTGTAAATTTCCGCCTCGAACGCGAGAGATCTAAGCGATAATTTAGCCTGCGCCGTGTGCGATTAAGTGCCGACGTTCTAATGGGATGTAATGATCGGCCATGACGATCGAGAAGAGCCGCGTGTCGATAGGTCGGATCCTCGCGATGCGAAACGCGATGCAAGAAACGAGCCGGATGATCGCGTAAAAACTTGTCCCGGAAATATAAAATGGCGGAATGCTAGTCAATTGAACGCGACGTATAATATTAGAAAGAGACAAAAGAAAATAAACAGGAAAGTTCCCTGATTTGCAGGAAAAAAGTTAAAAAAGTTATTCAGTTTATCCTTTTGATTTAGCTATTAAAAAAATTAATATTTTTAGAGAGAAATAAATTATCAGTAGCAATTTTATATCTCGATTGGGATTATTTTGCCACTTTTTCGTATTATAAGAGCTTACTATATAAGTATTAGTGTTTAAATAAGACAATAGTAATCAAATTGATCAAATAAACTCTTTATTAAAAAAAAAAACAAAATAAATATTTTTAATAATAAACTATGTAATTAAATAAATTTTGTGTAAAACTTTTATTTAAAACTGCAGCAGAATATGATAATTTCGCTGCATAAATCATTATAAGCCGATTTATTTGTTTTGTTTTTTGCATTTGATTTCAAGGCCTATTTACGATCATATTTTTTTTTGTTGATATTAGCTTTTTTGACTGATGTTTTGGTTTTTAGCTGATGTACAGACATCTTTAAAAACCGACTAATAATTAATCAACCTTTATCGCACGTTGGGACTCCTTCCTCGTTCGTAATTTCTTTCGAGCGTTTTTCGAGAGCAATTAATTCGTTCGTAGATCCGAGGATGATTCGCGTGAGAAAAAATCAAGGAAATTGTCGGCTGGATAACGTATGCGCTGACACTCTAATCGCGTTTTAATTAACCCCTTCCAGTAGGACGTCGGCGCCGTGCCGACACGGGAGTTATAGATATTTCATTCGAAAATATAGGTTTTAATTTAGCGGCCGCTCGATCAACGTCCGGCCGTTATAAATGGACACTATGATTGCTCGTTACACCGCTATGCAGAAAAGCGTTCGCCGGGACCGAACGGTTTGGAACTCCCTGGCGAGGAGAGACGGTTGCGGCGCAAACAGATTAGCTGCTAGGCCAGCTGAAGTATATTTTAATCGAGTTTCGTGAATTATTATTATTATTCGATCAGTTATCGATATAACGCCGGCGCGAATTTCAAACCTTTCTTAATTCCTTAATTAAATCTCTTTTCATCTCCTGAATTCTGAATATAGAATTGAGAAAGTATTACTGTCTTGTGTTTTCTACGAGAGCTTGAACTTACCGATCGAAGTCTGTGAGTCTTGATGAGTCCCTAAAACCCTTGGCGAACGGATTACTATCGATCTTCAATCTTGTTATCTGCAAGAAACATATTCTTCATTAAGTTTGATATTTTTTTCAAGATTTTAAATAATATTTAAAATTTTAAAAATGTGGAGAAAAAGATTTTATATTATAAGAAAAGAAATATTTTATTATTATGCATAAATCTTAATCTGAAGTTGCTGCTAATTTTAATAGTTTGCATAATAAACTTAAAGTTTGATTTTTGCAAAGCGATTGAAATATATATGAGAATATGAAGGTCAAAATAAAGATTGTTATATGCTGTTGGCTGACGAAAACTTAGGCTGATATTCATAGTCGATTCTTATATTTAAAACTGTCTTAATACAATCTTGAGATGTCATAAGCTAATCACAGAACCGTATTAATATCTTAAGATATTAATTATATGATAGTTTTAAAATAAGAACGAACTATGAATATCAGCTTTAGTATAGTAACGAAACGTATCACATTATTGTTTTCTTTTAAGAGTGAATACATTTTTACGTTTATAACGCCCTTATAAGCTTGTTATTTAAGTCTCATTTCTTTCTATTAATATTTTATTATTACATGGTTAAAAGTTTTTAATAAATAAAAAATGAAAGAGACTGTCACTTCTAATATGGGGTGCGTTCCGATATTCACTGCCAGTGCTAAAAATCTATAGCGCACGTAACGTATAACGTAACGTATAGTTTCAGCACTGGCAGTGAATATCGGAACGCACCAATGATGAACAGAAAATCTTTCTTTTTAACACACTAGAACCGCGGCTATGCCATTTTTAACTCATCTGATAGTTCTTTTTTTTTTTCAATTAATTTGAAATTGCACGCGGAGCTTTATATTTTTGTGACTTTTCATAAATAATGATTATAATTAATTACAAATAATTTAATTTTTATGGTGACCTTCTCTCGTGATCATCCAATAAAAATTCAGATTTACCTTGAACCGAGATTAGATTAATTATGTAATGCGATTTTAATGTTAAGCAATACGAAAAAAATCGCAGATCTCAAAAACTAATTCAAAAATCATAACCTCAATTTTGCGATTCAAATATTCAGCAATCTATTCGAATAGTTCGTGTTCGTTGAGAATTAACGTTGGCATTGTATAATCGACTGTGTATTCGACGAGACATCTGGACTCACCAGCTGATTCTGATACGCTGTGACAGCGGTGAAAATGGCCTCCGGAAAGATAAACGTCTTATACTCTTCCTTTTGAAGGTCGGTGATGTGCAAGCTGCTGTCGTCGGTGTGTCGACAGCGTATCAAGTGTATCCTCGGTTGATACCTGTGCATCGAGTTCAGTACAATCTGCAACAACGAAAAGATCTCCCGTTTGATTATTGCTCCTCCCGACGGGATTAAGCGCGAAAAATTGATTTCGCATTCTTTTCTTCAATGAATTCCGTGAGCGGAATTGCGCGGCTTGTATCGCGATACCTCCAATAACAATAAAATACGATTATCACCGCGATCGGCGACGATATTCCGCGCGAACGCACGCCTTAAGTCGCCGATTATCGTAAGTTACCGGGTAATTATTTAGCTTATATGTCTCCGTACTTAATATATTTCGTGTCCAAAGGTGAAACGCTGGGCTCCAGTTATCGCAAGTAGATTATCAGCGGAAGGTAGGACGCCTCTACCTTATTCGCCTGACTTTTACGTTTCTAGAAATGGGTCACAGCGGGTCCATAGTGTAATCTTCCTAATGGACACGAGAGATAATAAATACAGAGGTAGAGAAAACTTGTATATAACGACGTAGCAACATGGAGTACTCACTATCGTTTAAGCCCGGTTTAACGAGAATTCATTTCGAGCTAAACTTTAACTGCAAGATCCATTCAAAATTAAGCTAGAGCAACCATCTTATTGTTATCTGTCTCATGTACATTGAGAGAAAATGACTGCAATTATTATAATTCATATATAGTCATTTTTAATGTCGACTATATGTACGAGTATATTTTTCGATAAAACTAAAATATAAACATTATTGCTAACATTATATATAGCAGTAATAATTTATACAAAATTTGAAGAAGTAAAAGTGGAATCAATAAATTCCAAAATGAAACGATCCAAAATTGTACGGATCTTAAAAAAAATTGGAGTTAAATGTTTAAAAATTTGAAAGCTGAAATGATTAAAACGGTTTTTTTTTGAAATTTAAAAAATTTACGATATTGAGTATTAAATACAATGAGATTATAAAAATAAAGCTCCATTTAACAAGCATAATTATTTTACGATGCAATTACAGTCACAAATACCGAATATTTTTTTCTCAGTGTAGCAAAACTTGTGATTCGGGAGATTCTCTTAATTCGCGATATGAGTTAAATAGAAATGGAAGCGATCGCGTCTCGTTATTGCGCAAGTTTTTCTCAAATATCTCAAGACTGGCGTGTCATTTGGAAAAGTCGCGCAGATAGGTGGGTTAAAGTTTCAAGTGAGATTCCCATTTCCAAGAGAGAGAGAGAGAGAGAGGGGGGGCTCTGTCGCAGGTAGATACCGTAGATAGCGCGTGGCGCTACAGCCGGGGCGAAGTCCCGTATCGATTTCCTGTCCGAAACAATGTGGCGCGACGAAACAAATTCCCCGCGACGGTATCATGTAACGCGCGAGCAACCGCGCGCGCATCGCGTTCCGCGTTACCTCCGCCTTGCCATTTTCGAGGGCAATCCGCGCGACGGGACATACGAAGGTGATTAGAATCGGGGGATGGTTTGGATTAAAATTAACTCCTGAGAGGGAGAAGATAGAGAGAGAGAGAGAGAGAGAGAGAGAGAGAGACAAAGAGAGTAATTAGACATTGAAGATTAAACGTGATACTCGCATCTTGTGAACCACGAGAATATCCAAACTACGCTTTCGAGTAAATTATACGGAGTAAA